ACCGATGCACCAGTCGTTGTCGATATGATGCGCACCTGGATCAAGGGTTTAGTAGCCAACTACAGCATCGATGGCATCCGGATTGACGCAGCGAAGCATGTTAACGATGCATTCCTGCCCGCCTTCATCGGCGCTTCTGGCGTTTTCGCGTTTGGGGAGGTGCTCACGGGAGAGACCGAGGACATGTGCCGCTACCAGACGCGAGGGCTGCTGACCGGCATGCCCAACTATCTCGAGTATTTCCCGCTCAACGCCGTGTTCAACGGCCATAGCATGGAAGAGCTCTTCAATGAACGGGTCAACACCGAAGCCGGTTGCAACAACACCCTCGTTCTCGGCACGTTTGTCGAGAACCATGATTCGCCCCGCTTCGCCGCCTCGGTGAGCGACATGGCGCTGGCAAAGAACGCCATGACATACGTGTTGTTGAACGACGGTATCCCTACCGTGTATCAGGGGCAGGAGCAGCACTTTAGCGGCAACAGCACGCCCTTCAATCGGGAGCCGCTGTGGAGTTCTGGCTATGACACCACCGCGACGCTGTACAACCTCACAGCCACGCTCAATAAGTTGCGCAACGCCGCCATCTTGCTGAGCCCGTCTTACGTTAACACCACGAGCGAAACGTTGTTCTATGACGTCAACCATCTGTGCCTGCGCAAGGGACCCGACGGCAGCCAGATCGTCTTCTGCATCAACAACCAGAGCGGCGGCGGTCCCGCGTACCAGCTGAGCATCGGCGGGTTCGGCAGCGGCGATACCGTAGTCGAGGTCCTGTCTTGTACGCACACAACGGCCGATGGTATTGGCAATGTCACAGCGTACATGGACAAGGGTGAGCCCAAGGTCTTCTTCCTCGCGAGTGCGCTAAACAGCTCGGGTCTATGTCCAACCACATCTCCCGCCGCTCCGGCCTCTTCGGCCAAGAACGGAGGGGCACGAGAGACGGCCGACATCTGGACAAGCACGGTCTTGGCCGGGATTGTGCTGGGCTGCAGCGTGTGGCTCTTTGCTTGATCAGCTCGAGTCACAAAGGTAAAGTTTGGCAAATCTCTTTGGCTCTTCACTCTCTTAATAAAGTCGTATTACCTATTACCATCATCTTTGAGTATTATCCTATCAGCCCTTAATCCTCAATTCTAGTTCCTATTTCTTATGTTCTCGTCTCCCATCTGCAACTCGTGTGCTTCGCCCTGGCCAGCCCCCGGCACGCCCTGATAGCTTGCTCCCTGATGCCTTTGGTACACGTTCGGCGCCGGCGCCTGGGGGCTATAATTATATGGCAGCACTGGCGTCGATCCACCCGATGGGAATTGCTGTTGATAAGGAGACCCTTGGTATTGTGGCTGCTGATGGTAGTCGTGTACAAGCGCGGCTGCCGTCTCAGTGCCTAGAGGTGGTTTGTCCAAATCAGGAGAGACGGGCACTGGAAAGGCCTTTGGCTCCTTCCTGCGCTTCCGCAATTGGCATCCGAAGAAGACCAGCAACCCAACGAGGGCAGCTACCAGCGCTAGCCCGACCCCAAGACCGATCCAGAGTGGCTTGCTGTCGGAACCCGGCGTAGGTGTCGTACTCCCGGCAAATTCGCCCTGTCCGGGGGCTGCTGCCACGGTGACTGTGACCGTTGCAGCAGCAGAGGTCCCTGATCCACTGGGTGGGAGTACGGTGGGCCTCCTGATTTCGGTCGCGCCCGGAAATGTTAAGAAGTTGGTGTTGTTGGTGCAGCAGTCAGCGGTCTGGCCGCAACAGTAATTAAAGGAGGCGTTGGTCGCCTGGCTGCAGGGAAACACGAAGGAGTACTCATCCCCTGCGATCTTGATCTCAGCACGACCGACGACAAACAGAATAAACACGATAGAACAAATAAAAGAGTGGTGGACCCACGGATATTGTCCTTGCACTTCGGTGTCGGCGAGACGCATGGCTGTGGCCAGCTTGCATCTGTACATCCCTGGATCGAGAAGTAATTGTTGGCGCCGGCGTCTAGACAGAGTCCGTTGCCCAGGCAGTAGTCCTTGGAGCTGCAGCACGAGCTAACCGTCGCCGTCGAGTCGCATGGTATCCAATCGCCGTCGTCAGGCCGAATTTTGGTGTGCGGCAGTCCGTCGAGTCGGTAGCAAGTCGTTGCGTCCGCCGCCGCGCAATCGGCAAACAGCCCCAGCAACAGCAGCGCCGCCGCGACTGCCGCAATCCGCGCCAAGCCGGGCGCGGGCGCGCGTTGGGGCCCTCGAGCGCCTGCGATTTGGGCGCCCGCGTAATACACAGGGGTAGACATTCCGTCTCGTCGGTCTGTCGGGTGTGATTGACTCAAAAGAACGGGGAAGACATGGAACAAAAATAACGACAGCTAGAAAAGGGATGAGACTTCTCGCCTCTTCTTACAGACAATCCAGCAGGAGTGGTTGGTGATGTCAATTACGCTTGAAGACGGTCTCTCGGACAGAGACAAACAAGCAAACAGAGAGAGAGACAGAGCGAGAGTAAAGATGCAGGAAGGAGACAAATCGCACGAGCCTGTCCGTCCAAACTTCTTTCCCTATTTGTCACTTTAATTGCTCCAGACTACGGATGTACTCAGGTGTCTCTCTTCTTTCCACTGCATGAATGAGGCTGAGACCTGCTTTTACACCATCCAGTGGCCAGTCTGCCAGTGGTGTGCGTGACAGTCGAGGATACCCCTCCCAACCCACGTCCTCCGCTCCTCAAGTTCCCGCCTATTGTTTTTTTCACCCCGGATAAAAAGCTACGGGGTGGTGTGGTGCTTTGCTTTTGCGCCCAATCCAATGCCATTGCAGCGGTCTAGGCCCTGCGCCACACAGTCAATAGTGTCCATTGGTGGGTGACGGGTCGCACCCGATTCACTCCTCACTCACTGACCAACAGTGGTCTCCCGGAAGGGCTTTGTGGTTCTCTGTGTGCACTGTGCAGCAGTGGTAGTGCGTGGTGGTGCCACTGGATGGATATTTTTACACTCGCTCCTCACTTGCACTTGCCTGCTGTGACGAAACAGAGCAAATAAATACGAACGAGGGGGATCAACAAGATCCGTCGTCGAGGATAAATTGATCACGCCACTATGGCTGTTGGGTGGCTGTCAGCCCCAAGTCGGGGAGATTTGTGCTGGGTGCCGTCGGGTGGTGGGAAATTTCCACGCCGTATGTTACTCAGACCCGAGAAAATCACAAAGTACAAATGGATCGTTCCGTGCAGCCTGATGCAGGGATAAAAGCAGAATGGAGGAAACAAGAAAGGGCAAGGGGAAAAAAAGAGAAGTGGTAAAAAGGGGGCGATGTCAAATTTTGAGAACGCGATATAAATTCGATCTGAAGTCGCGACACTCTTGAAGCTGGCCCTTTTAATGACGACAGCGACGGTCGATGACCAACACCTCTTCGCCATCAGCCCATTCGAGCCTCTGCAGGTCGGAGGAAACAAAATTCTCCGACGGGCACTGGCAGCCCAGCCTGGAGTGATTTGCCAGCTTTGAGCATCGTTTGTGGAACTTCAAAAAGAGACTTGTCGGAAGTGATCAAAATGGTAAAAAAACGAAGGTCCCCGTCTCCTTTATACGGGAGGATGGGGGATGAAAAGTGATTCGATAGTTTGTGAAATTTCGCCAGAAGTGAGGCACCGTATTTTGGTTTAAGACCAGACTCGGTGTGGTGGGAGAAAGTTGGGGGTTTTGAATCTGGACAGCTGGCATCCAAAGGTCAGACGAGCTGAAACCGGGTGGTCTACAGCTGGCAAGGCCCGTTAGTGTTTAGTGAGAACCTTAAGCTAAGGCGGGCTAAAGATAAGTATTATGGATGAAATCCGGCTTCATCACAGCGGAGAAATAGCTCGATTTGATTAAAAAAAAAAAAAAGGAAGTGATTCTGTCAAGTTCTATTTACCAAAAAGAAAAAGAATAAATAAATAAATAAATTCAAGTGAGGCAGACGAATGTGAGGTGTCGGTCAACCTCGCAGTGCAGGGCTTCAAGTTTTTTTCTAACTCAAGAGAAAATATTCGGTGCAATAAATATGTCAAAGGCTGTTTCTCTTAATGGGCCAAATGAAAGCCTGTAAGGGCCGCGTAATTACCAAGAGAAAGTCATAATAGGTGCGTATACGTGTATGAGGGATCGGACTCCGCCTCCGTCCGCGGGAACGACGGGAAAGGAACAAATAGCAAGTGTGTGTGAGAACTCTAATCGAACACCAACAAGTTCTCGGAACTCGAGAAGGAATCCATGACTTGAGCAACGCGATGACTTTTTCCCTATGCCAAAACGGGTCATATCTTCGACAATCGCCATACCAACCACTCCTTGCGGGGCGCCGTGCTTCATGAACGGAGGGAGCGTTTGTCATTATTCCGTCACAATTCAAAAAAGGAGAGACAAAACAGGAGAGAATACCACTCAGGCAGCGAAAACTCTGTGACGGAAAGGAAACGGCCCATGTATTCTTTCTATCCGCGTTCCTCCAGAAAGTGGACGCTTTCCCATGCGCTCACAACATACATGGTTAGAATTTGGGCCCATCACCGACGTAAAGACCGTACCACTCAACTGAATAATAATGAAAGACTTGACGAATAGAAGACACTTAGTTCTTGAAATACTCGCCAAGCCTGTGGCGACCAAGTCGTCAAAGTTGTTGTCACCAGCCGTTACCGCCGCCGGCGTATAGAAATGACAGAAACGAGGAAAAGAAACGAGGAAAAGAAAGAGGCGGGTTGCCAAAGACGTCTTGCTCTGGAGTTGCAGAACTGTAATATGAAATGAAAGCATTCCTTCCAGAGCACGCAGATCTATCTATACAGCTCAAAGGAGTTCTATTTGGAAATACTAGTTCACTTCCAGTGTATAGGCGGCCGGGCAATGCGAGCGCTTGCAACTTTTGCCAGCTGCAGCTTTTGGGCGAGGTCCATCACGATTCACCTGAGTCTGTCTCAACTCTGCAACCAGGTGACAATGTCAGGCACTTTTCTAGGTTGAAATTTCAACAAACCAAAACGCACCAGTTAGTACAGTGGTTAGTACGTAGCAATATCAGGTTCCTGGGAATCCATTTGCAAATACCCAGACCTCTGCTAACGACCTGGGTTCGATTCCCAGACTAGCACTACTACTTTTCTTCTTCTCCTCTTTGAGGAATAGTAAAAAAATTAATTTCTATGAAATGAAACTCACTTCAAAACCTCGACCAGTTTTATAGATTAGTATATAATAAGTAGCCGTAAAACCTAGAGTAGGCGGCATTTAATGTATTAAATTTTCCGATACGTTAGGTAATATTTATACAACTTCTAGCTGCTCGAGCTCGAGCTCGAGCTGCGAACTCACCACACTTTCTCCTTGTGTCCGACGAATCGAATAGAACTCGCAATATGACACATACGAGTGTCACTGCTATGAAACTCCCAATGTCATGATTCAGTCTATCAAGGTCCTATCAAACAACGCGTCTTATTTCTCAGGATATATACATGCCAGAACTTCCTCTAAAAGTCTATATCTGAACATCCGGCTACACAAGCCGTTTATATCTTGCAACTAGATCGATCGCTGCGTTAGGCGCTGGAGCAAACTTTTCGCATTCATGGTTTATGTACACAGCACACACAACACACAACATATCCCACTCACCGCTGTTGACGTCCAAATGTGGCAGGGCCCTTGGGCTTGTTATCCAACACGGCCTCAATCTCCTCCATAATCTCCGGCGTAAGCTTGTCAATCAGCGGCAAGGCCTTGAGGTTGTCGAGCAACTGCTCGATCTTGGTGGCGCCCAGGATCACAGTGCTGACGTTGGGGTTTTTGGCCGCCCAGGCAAGCGCGAGGTGGCCGACCTTGGCGTCCAGCTTCCCCGCAATCGCCGTCAGCTTGCGGACCTTCTCGATCTTGGCCTGGCCCGCCTCCGACTGCAGCTCCTTGACCGTGTTCTCGAAGAAGGCCTTGTTGGTCGCGAAGCGCGAGTCCTCCGGGATGCCGTCGTTGTACTTGCCCGTCAGCAGGCCGCTGGCGAGCGGCGACCAGATGGTGGTGCCGAGGCCCCACTGCTGGAACAGCGGCGCGTACTCGATCTCGAAGCGCTCGCGGTGGAAGGCGTTGTACTGCGGCTGCTCGACCACGGGCGCGATCAGGTTGTGCTTCTCTGCGAGGAGGGTGGCCTCGGTGATCTGGGCGGCGCTCCATTCGGATGTGCCCCAGTAGTAGGCCAGGTTGAGGTTGCGGATCGTCTGGGTGAAGGCCTCGACAATCTCGAGGATAGGGGTCGCCGGGTCAGGGCGGTGGGCAAAGACCACGTCAACGTAAGGCGTCTGCAGGCGGGCCAATGAAGACTTGAGGCCCTCGACGATGTGCTTGCGGCTCAGGCCGCGCGTGTTGGGCTCCTTGCGCCCGGTGCCAAAGAAGACCTTAGTGGTCAGCACGTACTCGTCGCGAGGCCACCCAAGCTCCTTCAGGGCCTGGCCCATCTCGACCTCAGACGCGCCATTGGAGTATGTCTCGGCTGTGTCAAAGGTTTGCTGTTTTGCCCTGGTCAGCTGAATGGATCAAGACAGCGGGAAAGAGGGAACTCACGATACCGTTGTCCCAGGCCGCCTTCAGGAGCTCCTTAACGACATTGCCCTTCTGGGTCCCGCCAATGGTGAGCCAGCCGCCATACGAGAAAACGGACACTTGCAGACCCGTGTTGCCGAGGTAGCGGAATTTCATGCCCTTAGGGTCATAGGCGGTAGCGACGACGGGATCAGACATGATGGCGGGGTATCTCTAGAGATCTCGATAATGAAGGGTTACGATCGTTCACGAGAAGGCGCAATTCTGACTTTGTGAGTTGCGGAACAGCAAAGTGAGGCGAAAGAGCGGTCAGTGTTGAGAGAGGGAAAGTGCTTTGTTATTATAGTTGTGTGTCTGGGCGGTTTGACGTCCAAGCCGAAATGCTCTTCCCATTCCATCCGGAAGACCCAGCCCGTGCAAAGTGTGGAGAAGGAGCGGATCGCAACAGGCAGTTCCAGAGTGACGACATCCATTGTTTGCCCGCCATCGGCGTTAAGCATCTTTGCTGAGCGATAGCGTCTGCGGAGTCGGTGGGGGGGGTTTCCTCGGCGTCTGAGCACTTGCGGCTAAACCTACAAGCAGCTTTTGAGTGGGTGAAACTGTTCATCAGGGATCTGCGGGCTTTTTTGTGCCAATTTTTGCCCTTTCTTTACGTTTATCTGACTGAATGGCGACTTTTAGGCTACCAGTGAGCAATTACTACCAAAGTAGCTTGTCTGACAAATATCAAGAGCCCGGCATACGTGTTGCGCAGATATGGAAGGTGTAAGTAGTGAAAATTTCGGTTATGATATCACGGCGATGCAGGGGACTCGCCACAATAATAAGCATCGAGCTAACATTGCTCCCTGTAATTTTCTCACTGGAAATATACACTTATACGGCGTGTAATGTTTGCCTGTTGTTGAGAAGCGTGTGCACTTGTATCCTAGTATCTTCGAGTCTCAGCCCCCCCAAAACGGAAGACAGTAAGGCTGGTTGACATTGAACATGTGCAATTAACAGGAGGTGCGGTTTACGGCACCCCTTCACACCTAATAGTCTGTGATGACATGAATTTAAAGAGAGTCAAAAGGCTAAATTATTTATTACGATACCTACTGTGACCTTGTTTAGGCCTTCCTGACACGAAAGGAGACGCAGAAGCCCAAAAGTCCCGAACGAAATGATGAAGAGGAAAGAAAAGGACAAACACCTTAACAGGGCTGTTGCCAACCATTCGGTTGCACAAAGGCTGACCAGATAAGTCTGAGTAGAGACACGATCCTTCAAGTTGCTGGTGGTGGAACAGGATAGAAAAGAGACAAGCCAGACAACTTACCTCCATAATTTCCGTGTATGATGTACGCAGGCAGGCACATGAATCTGTATGTACATGACATCAAGCCTCTGGTTAACATGCTTGGTACCTTGGTAGGCTGGGCTGTTAGTAGAAACCTGAACTCTTATGGATCCAAGAGGTGACACATGTTGGTATCATCGACACATCGAAGCCGTCGAGGAAGAGGGGAGAGAAACAGACCGTTGACAAGGCGATATAGCAGTTGACTCGTAGGTACCTAGGCAGGCAATCGCTGCTCGCTCAGGTTGTATATGAACAAGGTCGCCCTGTAGGCAGAGTTAGAGTTGGAGCCCTTGTACCTGGAGAATGCGACAGTTGCCTAAGGTGGGGTGACCACAGCTTGCAGCGGGGCGGTAGTCAACGCGGCCAAGTCAGCAGTTCGAGGGCCTCCCCCTGCGCGAGTAGACATAAACATTAATAGTGTGGAAAGAGTAAGGAAAGGACATATCGTAGGAAAGCAAAGGAGATGAAGGAACGCTGGTACAGAGTGCTGTTAAGAAGAAAGCGGGTTGCTGGCGCAGCAGCTGCTGGGGAACGTTAGACAGTCAAACAATCCGAAGCCAGGAATAGCTTCACACGCAATGAAATTGCGGGGTAGAATCACCACCACAGCGAAACAGCCGTTGCACTTGCAACAGACGACAAGACTTACCCATCACCGCATGCCCAAAGTGAGAAATTAGAATCAATACAAATCAAGGAGTATGTACAGTCGTAGGACATATGTACAGGGGGTATCGGTAGTCCCATCCACCAAACCTCCAGAACGCCAAAACACCAAACGCTAAGATCGACTCTCATCTTGTCTCCTTCCCCTGGGTCTTGACCGCAACGCATCGGAAACAGGTTTCCGAATGCGGGTCGCATGATCACCTTGACACCTCCTTCTTCTTTGCATCGGGCTGCAGTTCCTGCGCCCCGTTGTTGTTGAATGGGCTGGCAAAGCCAGCTTTCGAGGATCGCGATGGCAAGCGATAAGTTCGACCTCATGTTCGTACAGAGGATGTGGGCGGGATGGTGAGAGACTTCGGTGTCGTCGGTGAGGTAACGATGACTTCGAGTCAAAGAATGATGTGGATTGACGCTCGGCTTTCGGCGTGGGCGTATCAGAATCGACAACATTAAGCACTGGGAAAGGGCGAGCCATCTCTTGCAGGGGCTCATTTACTATCGTCAACGACTTCGTCATGTTCTCCTTGTATAAGTTAACGAAGGCGGGGCCATCCGTGTCGTCGGAAGCAGGTGTCACAGGAGATTCACAGCGGCTGGGCTGCGATTCCTCCTCGTCGTGGAAGTCGAGCTGAGAATCTTGGAAACAATCACGCTCGGATTCGGTATATGATAGTGTGCGTGGAGGCGTCAACGTGTTTAGTACATAGTCCTGATGGCGAACTTGGTTGCAATCAGCTGTTGCCGAATCCGAGCACATCGTCATGGACCGAGGCGATGGCGGCAGATGTCCCTTGAACGTCGAGACATCGAGATCGAGAGGCTCGTCAGTGATGATGGGACCGTCGTAATGGTCGTCCCCAAAGAACGAGTCGTGAGAATGTGCAAGTGAGTCGACACTACTGCCGGCGTCCGACGCCGAGGCCGAGTCGGCCAACTTGTGCCAAGAATGATCTTCGGGGAGGTAGGATGCAAAGTAGCGGACGAGGGAGTCGAGAGACTTTGTCCGGAAGAGCTGCACGGCGTGCTGCCACTGTTCAGTGCCGATGAGGGAAGGGTTGGCAATGATCTCGAAGGCAGCAGACTCGAGCGACTCGTTCAACTCGCGAAGACGCAGCTGCTTGCGTTCGCCGAGGAGACTGTGGAACTCATCGGTTGATGTGGCTATTTGGGAAACCTCGAAGACATCGTGGTGGAAAGCCTCGGGGTCCTGGATGGAGGAGGGAATGGTATTGTACTGGTCGTGCAGCTTGGTGAAGAGATCATCTCTCTTCAGGCCGAACTTCCAGTGAGGCCAACTCCAACAGGGATCGGCGAGGTCGTCCATCCTCTGGTGGTCGAGGTTCGGAGATCGAGTTGTTCGTGAATCGAGAGTCTCAAGGGCCGCAGCGGGGTCCCTTGAGAGCCTCGATGGCGTGGAGAGTGCTGTGGATGTGGAGTTGGGAGTCGGGTTGGGGGGATCGTAGAGGCGAGAGAGAAGACCAAGTCGAGAACCGGTTACATGGATCGTGTGCTGAAGTTAGAGGTACCTGGATTAGGCGAGGGCGCTG